GCCACCGCAGCCTCAACCTGCTGGGCTCCGGCGATCCTTCTGCCTCAGCCTTCCAAGTGGCCGGAATTACAGGCATGCGCTACCACGCCCGGCTGATTTTTTGATTTATTGTAGAGATGAGGTCTCGCTGCCCAGGCGGGTCTCGAACCTGCGGGCTCAGGCAATCCACTCACCTCCGCCTCCCAAAGGTGCGGGATTACAGGCTGAGCCACCGAGTCTGGCTAAAAATTTTTTAAAAATTAATTAGTTATGGTGGTGTGCACCTGTAGTCCCAGCTACTTGGGAGGCTGATGCAGGAGGACCACTTGAGCCCAGGAGTTGGAGGTTGTGGTGAGCCATGATCATGCCACTGCACTCTGGCCTGGACAACAGAGTGATGCTGCAACTCAAAACAACAACAACAAAAAAGGAATAGAATTCTAGCACATGCTACAGCATGGCTGAATCTTGAGTACATTATGCTAAATTAAATAAGGCAAATATTGTCTGATTCCATTTATATGAGGTCCCTAGAAGAGTCAACTCATATCTTAGAGACAGAAAATAGAATGATTGGTTGCGGGGAGCTTGAGGGGGTGAAATGAGTGTTTAAAGGATAAAGTTTCAGTTGGGAGTGGTAAAAATTTGTAGAAATGGATGATGTGGTAATAGTTGCACAAGAATGTGAATGTACTTAATGCCACTGAACTTTGTTTAAACATGGTTAAAATAATAAATTTTGTTATGTATATTTCACTATCATTTTTTAAAATGTTTCAACAAAACATTTGTATCTGCCTTAACCTAGTATAATATTTTGCCCCATTTGTTTTATCATTTTGTGAGTGTGGTTTTTTTTTTTTTTTGCTTTTTTTTTTTGAGTCGGAGTGTCACTCTGTCACCTAGGCTGGAGTGCAGTGGCACATTCATGGCCACTGCAGCTTCGGCCTGCTGGGCTCAGGTGATCCTTCCACCTCAGCCTCCTAAGTAGCTGGGATTGCAGACATGTGTCACCATGCCTGGCTAATTTTTTAATTTATTGCAGAGAAGAGATCTCACCAAGTTGCCCTAGGCTGGACTTGAACCCCTGGGCTCAGGCATCCCTCTTGTTTCTGCCTCCCAAAGTGCTGGGAATACAGGCCTGACTGAGTTTGTTCTTATGTGTCTTCTGTATGTCTACATGTAAACGTGTGGGCACACATTTTTTTCCCAAGCCATTTAAAGATAGGTTATATGCATTGTGGTCCTTTGCCTTTAATTACTTCAGGAAAATTCCTTTTTTAAAAAAAAATAGAGATGGGAGTCTCACCATCTTGCCCAGGCTGGTCTTGAATTCCTGGGCTGAACTGATTCTCCTGCCTCAACCCTCCAAAGTGCTGGGATCACAGGCATGAGCCACCGAGCCAGGCCAAGAATAGATATATTCTCTTAACTATTGTGGTTTTATCAGCTTCATAAATTTACATTAAAACAATAGTTAAATACCATCTAAATTCTATTTTTGTTAGTATTTTTAATAGTCCCTTCCCTGTCCCCCATAATATAGGATACAGTCTGGAGCGGAGTATTGCACATAAGCAGAGTCTCTTTAGCCTCTGCTTGTCTTTTATGATATTGGCAAATTTTTTAGGAGTACAGCACCCTTTCCTCCTTTTTATTTTTATTATCTCTCTATCACCCAGGCCGGCGTGCAGTGACTCAGTCTTAGTTCACTTCATCCTCAAACTCCTGGGCTCAAGGGATCTTCTTGTCTTAGCCTCCCAAGTAGCTGGGACTCTAAGTGCATGCCACTCTGCCAGGCTTTTTTTATTTTTATTTTTTTATTTTTTATTTTCTTTAGAGATCAGTCTTGCTAGGTTGCCCATACTGGTCTTCCTTCCCCCCTTATTAAAAAAGACTGGGCTCGGTTGCTCAGCCTGTAATCCCAGCACTTTGGGAGGCCAAGGCGAGTGGATTGCCGGAGCCCGCAGGATCAAGACCAGCTTGGGCAACTTGGTAAGACCTTGTCTCTTCAGTAAGTAAAAAATTAGTTGGATGTGGTAGCACGTGCCTGTAGTCCTGGCTACTTGGAAGGCTGAGGTGGAAGGATCGCGGGAGCCCAGCAGGTTGATGCTGGGGTGACCATGAGTGTGCCACAGCACTCCAGCCTGGGCGACAGAGTGAGACTCCAACTCAAAAAAAAAAATAAAAAATCTGCATAGTCGTATCCTTCTTGGGTCATCACATTAGGAGACTCAATACATTTTTAATGCGTAGTGAAGGAAATCAGCAAATACTGTAGGAATTCAGAGAGCAGAGAAAAAAGAATAGGGAAGATACCATTAAAAAGGAGACCGATTTGATAGCATATTTCTAAAATTTTACTGATTTCCCCCTCAGTGTCAAATTTTGCATCAGTTCAGCTAATCTGTATTACTGTCTTATACTAATTTTTATTAAGCTCTCTGTTGTATTAAATAAGTCAGGAAAAAAATTATTGATTTCTGTTTTTACATTTAATGAAGTCAAGTGTGCCTTTCAAATGGTGATCAAGGCTGATTATTACATAAAATTCCCAAATTATTTGAATCAATATAAAATGAAATTGAATATTCATCTTTGAATATTAGAGTCAGACTGACAGTTTGTATTCTCACTTTCTCACCATTCGAGAACCTTTTAGCACCCTTGCTTGAGTTGCTGAACAAATGTACTTTTCTTGCAGATACCCTTTGTAGAATGCGTACATAGTGGTGATGCTGCTGCATCTATCCTCAATACCATTTTTCACTTGCAGGCTAATTTACAAAGAGCATTCAAAATTTCCATGCAGAGGGAACAAGCTACCTTGCAAAATATGATTAAGGCAGATGTGAGTTTAAATACATTTCTTGAGTAGTTTTTGTTTCTCATGTTATAGGAAACACTGGTCGACCCAGTTGGGATATATTTATTGGTTAACAGGGAGGAGAGCCAGAGGCATATTTGAGGCTGTTATTATTTGTAAGTTGATTTTTTTCTTCCTTCTCATATACATACTTTCTATAGTTAATTCCTTAGCCTTTGTGCATTTTGTTTCTACAGTTTGAAGAAAGCAGGTCTGAAACAAGGTCCTAACCCCCAGCTGCCCCAGAACACGGTGACTGCCAGATCTCCAAACATCAAGTCCAGCTTTGTCTGCCAACCTGTCTGACATGTCGGGACCCGTGCCAAGCAGGGCCAGAGTTTACACAGATGTTAATACACACAGACCTCGAGAATACTGGGATTACGAGTCACATGTGGTGGAATGGGGGTAATTGTTTTTGTTTACTTCACTATACTCACCCAAAGCTCTGAATGTTGTGGATTTCTTTGATATTTTTTGTAAGGAAACCTCCCTGACTCTACATCTTTAAATCTCAAAATCAAATCCCAATTTGTGTTTTTTTTCTTTTGAGATTTTTTTTTTTTTTGAGTTGGAGTCTCACTCTGTCGCCCAGACCACAGCCTCGACCTGCTGGGCTCCTGGGATCCTTCCGCCTCAGCTTTCCAAGTAGCCGGAATTATAGGCATGAGCTACCACACCCAGCTGATTTTTTTATTTATTGTAGAGATGAGGTCTCGCTGCCCAGGCGGGTCTCGAACCTGCGGGCTCAGGCAATGCACTCACCTCAAAGGCGCGGGATTTCAGGCTGAGCCACCGAGTCCGGCTTCTTTTGAGATTAAAGTTTGTTTTTTTTAGTGAAGAAGCAGAATGTTACTTTGGCAAGTTAATGATTTTGACGGACTTACCATATAAAAATCATTTCAGTCTCTTATCCCTTCTTGATTTATACACAGCCATGCACTACATAATGACATTTGTATCAATGACAGACTACGTATGCAACAGTGGTCCCATAAGGGAGCTGATGAGTCATAATGTAACAATAGTTATTACTTTTTCTGTATTTAGATATACAAATGTCATTGTGTTATAGTTGCCTACAGTTTTAAATTACAGTAATATGCTACACAGGTTGCAGCCTAGGAACAATAAAATATCCCATATATTGCAAGTGTGTGTGATGTGCTGTACATCTAGGTTTGTGTAAGTACACCTGTGTTCAGTGCATTTCTCAGAACAGCTTTCTATCATTGAGTGATGCATAACTGTATTCTGTATACAATGCTAGTAACAAAATTACCTGTCAGCTTGCTTCCTTTTAACTGATACTTCAGAGACTTCAAAAAACACCAAACTCTTTTTTTTTTCTTTTTTTTGAGTTGGAGTTTCACTCTGTCGCCCAGACTAGAGTGCAGTGGCATGCTCCCGGCCACCACAGCCTCGACCTGCTAGGCTTCGGTGATCCTTCCGCCTCAGCCTTCCAGGTAGCTGGAACTACAGGCACGTGCTACCACGTCCGGCTAATTTTTTGATTTATTGTAGAGATGAGGTCTCGGTGAGTTGCCCAGGCAGGTCTCAAACCTGGGGGCTCAGGCAATCCACTCACCTCAGCCTCCCAAAGCACGGGATCACAGGTTGAGCCACCGAGCCCAACTCGCATTTGTTTTATGTGTCCTCCCACAGGAAGAGAACTCAACCAAAACTAGAAATTTTTTTCCATTGTTTTTAGTACCTTTTGCCTTTTCTATTCAATCACTTTCTTTTTAACTGCTTGAGGAAAATGAATGACTGATTTGGTACATATTGGATTCTTAGTGTCTCCAATAGGAGTAAATAAAATCTAGACCTTATTAGAGGAACCATGTTTGTCATTTGAAAGTTACTTACAGACCGGGCTCAGTGGCTCAGCCTGTAATCCCAGCACTTTGGGAGGCCAAGGTGAGTGGATTGCCTGAGCCCGCGGGTTCAAGACCCGCCTGGGCAACTTGGCAAAACCTCATCTCTACAATAAATCAAAACTTAACCGGGCGTGGTAGTGTGTGCCTGTAGTTCCAGCTACTTGGAAGGCTGAGGCGGAAGGATCGCTGGAGCCCAGCAGGTCGAGGCTGCGGTGGCCAGGAGCAGCCGCTGCACTCCAGTCTGGGCGACAGAGTGAAACTCCAACTGAAAAAAAAAAAAAGTTACTTACATGCAAAGAAGCCTGTTAAAAATCAACTGCTTAGGCTGGGCATGGTGGCTTATACTTATAATCCCAGTACTTGGGGAGACCGAGTTGAGAGGACTGCCTGAGCCCAGGAGTTCAAGACCAGCCTAGGCAACTTGGTGAGACCTCATCTCTACATTAAATCAAAAAATTAGTCTGGTGTGGTGGTGCGTGCCTGTAGTTCCAGCTACTTGGAAGACTGAGGTGGAAGGATTACCTGAACTCAGCAGGTTGAGGCTGCGGCAGCCAACAGAGTGAGACTCCAACTCAAAAAAAAAATCAGTTGCTCCCAAAGTATGACTGATGGCTGGATTGAAATAGTCTTAGAATATGTAGTGAGTTCCTACTGGGCCAAGCACTAAGGGACAGGCATGTATAAAAATTGTTCTCTACGGGAAAGCTGTCTGTTCATAGAGACAAACATATTCATAATAAACCCTGATATAGGCTAGCTGTATGTGGTATGCCAGTAGAGATGTAAACAATTTGGAATTTGAAAGAGTAATTGAAAAGCTTAAGTTTTTCTAATTCTAAGATTTGGAATGCACATTTTTAATTAGCCCAATTAATAAAAAAATACAATAAACCAATTTGGGAATTATTTGAAATACCTCTTATTTCTGTTACTCCTGCTGGTAATAGAGTTTTATAAGTTGAATTGGTGCTTGATAATTTAAACTTTTTTTTTTTTTTGAGTCAGAGTCTCATTCTGTCGCCCAGGCTGGAGTGCAGCAGGATGCTGTTCACGGCCACTGCAGCCTCGAACTGCTGGGCTCAGGTGTTCCTTCTGCCTCAGCCTTCCAAGTAGCTGAGACTACAGGCACGTGCCACAACACCTGGCTAATTTTTTCATTAGGGCTTGCCAAGTTGCCCAGGCTGATCTCAGACTCAGGCAATCCTCTCACCTTAGCCTCCCAAAGTGCTGGGATTGTAGGTGTGAGCCACCGTGCCAGGCCAATAATTTAAACATTCTTAATCATTGTGACTTTGACTTATTTTTGTCTTCAGAAATCAAGATGACTACCAGCTAGTTCGAAAATTAGGCCGGGGTAAATACAGTGAAGTATTTGAAGCCATCAACATCACAAATAATGAAAAAGTTGTTGTTAAAATTCTCAAGGTGAGTACAAGATGAGAGATAATTTTAGAGGTATTTGGAATGTAGATTTTTTAAAATGATAGTGATGCCTTTTTTAAAGTAGCATTTGAATGGTTTTTGAAATGCTTTAGCACCTTTATTTTACTATATCCTGTGAACGCAGTAGAACAAGTTATACTCCTGATCAGGAAACAGGCAAGAGAAGTGATTTGACTGAAGTCATATAAACTAGATTGTGGCAGAGGAAGGGAGTAAAGGCACAGTCTTCTCTTACTTAGGTCTTGCCTAATATTGATTTCTTATGTTTTTAATTATATTCCATGTTTTGTGGGGGGTTCTTTTCTTTCTTTCTTTTTTTATTTATTTTTTTTTTTACGTTGGCGTTTCACTCCGTCGCCCAGGCTGGAGTACAGTGGCACACTCACGGCCACCCCAGCATCAACCTGCTGGGCTCTGACATTCCTTCCACCTCAGCCTTCCAAGTAGCTGGAACTACAGGCTTGCACTGCCATGCCTGGCTAATTTTTGATTTTTATTGTAGAGATGAAGTCTCGCCAACTTGTCTCGAACCCACAGGCTCAGGCAATCCACTTGCCTGGGCCTACGAAAATGCTAGGATTACAGGCTGAGCCACCAAGCCCAGCCATGTTTTTGTTTTAAATAAATAAAATCATTGCCTCTACTTTGTAAGGATGAAAAGTCACAAATACAGGACTAAAGGGAACAGGCAGATGACATAATGAACTAGTCTGGTGTCATTGCCCATACTTAGATGATGTGAGTGATAGGGGCTGAGACAAACTGGGAAACATATGCCTTTTCGAAAGGAGGTACCTGCTTCTCAGCTGTAGCTGATTTTTGCCATATAGTAGTGCAAGTCTTTTCCTTTGCAAAGAACTAGAAATTTATATTTATATATGAATTCCCTTGATCTTTAAGTGTTGTCTTAAGATTTTAAAAAAAACACTGCACAGGCCAAATTTGACCAGTGGACTACCAATATGCAACTTTTAATTTAGTTATTTCTGTACTGTGCACTATTCTATATTGAGAGCTTAGCATATAGTTCCTAGCTACAGGAACTTTTCCATCCTTAACAGTGAAAAGTAGAAATTTCCAAACTTTCTCAATTTATAGCACTTATATCATCTCAGTGTTTTGTTTTGTTTTGTTTTTTGTGGTACTCCTTAGCCAAAAGAAATACCTACTAGTTCTATATTATGTAGCTATGTCTAGATAGCTAACTAAGTGTATATATTTTAACACCTTGGAAGTTATACATGTAAATTAATTTAAAAATTTAATCTTTATAAAATCATAATTAAACTGTTGGGTTTGGTATACCTGTTAGTCACTGCACAGCTTCTCAGATGTTGGAATCGGATTGGATACCCCCACTCTCATTTCCTTTTCATGTTGATTTTTACATGGTATTTGCTTTTTATCACAGCAGCTTCTGAAAACCCAGCTTCACAAATATATGTCCTTAGAAGGAATATAATACAATATAATATTGAAACTATGAACTAGCTGGGCTCGGTGGCTCAGCCTGTAATCCCACGCCTTTGGGAGGCTGAGGTGAGTGGATTGCCTGAGTCCGCGGGTTCGAGACCTGCCTGGGCAGCGAGACCGCATCTCTACAATAAATCAAAAAATCAGCCGGGTGTGGTAGCGCATGCCTGTAATTCCGGCTACTCGGAAGGCTGAGGCGGAAGGATCGCCAGAGCCCAGCAGGTGGAGGCTGCGGTGGCCGGGAGCAGCCACTGCACTCCAGTCTGGGTGACAGAGTGAGACTCCAACTCAAAAAAATAAAAAAATAAAAAAGAAACTATGAACTACCTTAAACTGGTAGTATGCTCAGTGTCTAGCACATATCAGGTATTGATTAGTGTGTTTCCCTCAAATATTTAAAATATCCCACAGTGCTTTGTGCATTGCTGGTGCCTCACACACCATTTGAGATCCAAAGAGTTTCAGTATTTATATCTCTTATCTACGTAGACAGGTAACTAGGCTGAAATCAGAACACTTGGATTATATCTAAACTTTGGAAGTAGTTAGCTATGGTAGTCCTTTTAACCGAAGACACCTTTGTTTAGCTATAGAAAAGATAATCTTGTTTTACCTACCTTTATCAAGGTTGTTGCAAATACAAGATTGTGTATATAAACATGCATTAGAGACTTACATTCTTTTTTTTTTTTGAGTTGGAGTCTCACTCTGTCACCCAGACTGTAGTGCAGTGGCCGCTCCCGGCCTCGACCTGCTGGGCTCCGGCAATCCTTCCGCCTCAGCCTTCCGAGTAGCTGGAACTACAGGCGCGTGCTACCACGCCCGGCTGATATTTATTGTAGAGATGAGGTCTCGCCAAGTTGCCCAGGCGGATCTCGAACCCGTGGGCTCAGGCAATCCACTCACCTCAGTCTCCCAAAGGCTCAGAATTACAGGCTGAGCCACTGAGCCCGGCAGATGAGACTTACATTCTATGTAATTGTATGATGATGCTCATATGGAAAGATCTGTTATAGAATGAGGTGATATATGAGTATTACTATTTAGAGCTGCATGAATAGTGGTCTATAGTTCAGAAGAAGGTAGTAGTTAAGAAAAGTTCCCTGGAGCTGTTTTCAGGCTGAATGGGAGGAGGATTTGGGTCGGTGGGAGTAGAAAGGGGAAGCATGCTGAAGATTGAACCAAGATAAAAAAAGAGGATAAAGGAAGAAGTGAGAGAAATCTTCTATGTGGATGATGTCATTTGACCTGTGAGTGTAAAAAGAAAAATTGATAAAGGCCTGGGAAAGATAATCTCTGTATTTCTCCTTTCAGTCTTAAAAGTTATATGACTTTATCTCTTCTAGGTAGTTTTGAGTGAAGAACTTTTTAGAAAAAATTTTTCAACATAATTTTTCTAACTCTATATTTTCCTATAAGTATATATAAATGGTATAAGTATGGGTGAAATTCCTTTATAAACTATATATAAAAATTTTAATCTCTCCTCCCTATTTAAGACAGAAGTTGTATTAGTCACATTAAATTGTGGCTTAAGTCAACTGCTTGGTCTGTCACAAACAGCTTTTAAGTTGGTAGATTTGAAGGGTTCTGTAGAATAAAAGTTTTGTAAACCAGTGGCTTTCTATGTGTTTGTGCCATGAACTAGCAATTGGGAAATAGTGATTTAGAAGAAAACAGAAGGTGGATTGGTAGATTTGTCTCTAGAAGGTGAAAAGGTCTTCCAGACACTGTAGCAGGTCAAAAAGATCTGAATAGTTGAAACAAGAAGACAGAATATCTATCCTATTTCCCAGCTAGTCGTTATACTGAGTTGTAATGGAAGCAAGAGGCCATGGATTGAATTGAATGTGGACTGTGTAGAAGTCATTAGTAAAATGGCATCCATGTATTGGCTATCTACTTTGCACTGGGCCCTGTTCTAACTGTGGCTTATAAATCACTAAAGCTCTGCAAGGCAAGTGTAATTCCTTTTTAGTAGTGGTAAAAATAAAGGTGAGAAACATTTAAAAGTTTTCCCCAAAGCTGCACAGCTACGAAGTCAGGTTTTGAAAACTGTCAGTGTTTCCAGAAAGAATCTCCCTGCTTTCTCTTAACATGTGCTTGGGACTTAAGACAAGGTTAAAAAAGTTGATAGTATTGTTTGGATCATCATCCTGGGACTTAGCTAAAAATAGATTCCCAGTCTTCCTCTCAAGATTTTAGTTTAGTAAGTGTAAGTGGTCTCTGCAAATCTGTATACTTAAAAAACCCAGGTACTTGTTGATCATCAAACCTTCGTAACCACCAGTCTTGTTAATGAAGAGATAAGATATACTAAAACAATTTCTAAGGAATTGTATGCAGCACATTAGAATCTGAGGTGACCCACACCCTAGAAAAGACCTACACAATTCAGTTCAGTAGGCAAAGGCTGTATTTTTCTGTTGGGCACTTGAAATGTAACTGGGCTGAACTGAGATATGCTGTAAGAGTAAAATATAGTGGATTTCAAAGAGTTGGTACAATAGCATAGGAAGTATCATTAGTGGTTTATGTTGATTTGTATTTTGAAATTTATCTAAAAGATAAATATGTCATTTAAATTAATCTTGTCTATTTCATGTTACTTTTATGTGACTTCTAGAACATTCAAAATCACATATGTAGCTTGCATTATATTTCTTTTGGGCCAGCACTGTTTTAGACAAGTAATCGGAAGACATGCCCTCCCCAGAATAATGAAAAGGACTTCTTTACCAGAACAGTTGTAGAAAGGATGGATGAGGACAAGCAATGAGGAGGGTCTACTCTAGGGACTCTGCAGAGTAGTCTTTTTTAGCACTGAGGGATTCGTTTATAAGAGGATTGGTGATAAGGTTAGACAGGCATTACCATATGTTAAGTTCCAGCCATATTCTGAGTTCTTTCAGATACCTCATTTGATTTTCATGACAATCTTATGAGAATAGGTATTTATATTATTTTTTTTACACATAATGAAAGACATAGGGAAGGTACGTGATTTGCCATGAGCACACAGCAGGTAATGGAGGTAGGATTCTCATTGGGCAGTCTGATGCCAAGGCCCTGATTTCCTTCATGTCTATAGGGTGTTTATTAGAGAAGGGACTAGAAAGGGCCCGTGTTTCAACCTAATTGGTAAAAAGTTTTTCAAGATATACATTAGTATTACCAGCCATTTAAATTGCTAGTTTTAAGGTTTTTAAACTGTTATCATATTAAGACTGATGATTGAAATTAAATGCTACTTCTGCAGAGGTCTGGTCTTTGGAATGGAAGTCTTTTTTTTTTTTTTTTCCAATTCAACATCTGTAAGTAACCTGCAGAATGCCTGGCACAGTGCTAGGAGAAGGATTCAGAGACGAGTCTTACACATTTTCTTCCTTCAAGTAACTCATAAGTAAGCCATTTATGTATTAGCTATCTGTTGGAATACTCTGAATTAATTTTTTTTTTTATTTTTGCTGATGTACTTTTACCCTTTCAGCCAGTAAAAAAGAAGAAAATTAAGCGTGAAATAAAGATTTTGGAGAATTTGAGAGGCGGTCCCAACATCATCACACTGGCAGACATTGTAAAAGACCCTGTGGTGAGTATAGTAGACATTAGCAAGGCCCACCAGGGCTGAGATAGTGTTTGACCAGGAGTACAACTGGCCTCTTTTCTGTCATCTCTTCCCCACCCCCCATCATTAAGTCCTGCTTTATAAGTACTTAATCAGATATACCATTTAACTAGCTTGGGTCTTTCTTTCGAAGAGACCTCCACCCACAGACTATTTCTTATTCTTCTAGGCTAAGAGACTGATAGCACTGGAAACTGAAATGTGTTAATCCATTTTGCAAACTCAGGTCCGATGCCGATGGGCGATGGGCGCATTGTCGGGCTGCCTAGAGCCTGGTGAGACTTCAGCTCCATGTCTTCTGTTTGAAATCCATCCCCCAAATGACTTCAGTGTGGTGACAGTCAGAGTGGGGAGGGCTTGTTGCAATAGAGGGTTTCTTACTACTGAGGCAAGGACTGCCAAATTTGCCACGCAGCATCCGCAAACGTTGTGCCCACTAGAGCTGCCAGGGCTGTTGCTAATGTGTGTGTTTTTTTCTTTTCCCCTAGTCACGAACCCCCGCCTTGGTTTTTGAACACGTAAACAACACAGACTTCAAGGTATAATATCTAACCAACTGTTTCAAGCTGGTGGATTTTTAGACCATACGAGAGCCTTTTAGGGATGATACTGTTAAAAGAGCTTGCTTCTAATTTGTTTTAAAAGAGCTTTTCATCCTTACGGCGCTAAATTTTAAGATAGAAGAACTCCTATACCAACAGAGTCCTCTTTCCACATCTTGGATTTTACCTTTTTTAGTGACCAGTACATTTACTTCTCACCACCTCACTCATATGACAGTTTCTGCTGATATTCAGCCTAATGAAGTCCACAACACATATTCATGTTAATTCGCTTTAAACAGCAGTGTTTGGAAAGGAATATATTGTATGTGTAAAAGTAGGGACTGCTTATTCCTTCGGATTTCTCAGAAACTCTGGGCTATAGATATTAAAATGAGGGAATGGGGAAGGATGATGTCAAATTATGCTATAACACAGACCTCTGTAAGAGATATCTCTAAATTCCTGCTTATCCAGTGACCCTCTTATTTCAAACAGTTCTCAATTCCAGTTTAACAGAAGAATGTAAGCACTTTCTTGGAGTACAAGTTGTAAAGGTATTTGATTTGCCTTTGCAACAGTTCAGTATCAGAATGTTTTATATCAATAAATGGGTGAATTCTTTTGCCGAAATTGGGGGAAACAGGAAAAGGAACTGTTTTAAAATCAGAATGATAACTTAAAGAAAAACTTTGTCAGAGGACATTGATGACTGTTTAAAGATATATACATGTAACTTCATGTGGTGGCCCACATATGTAGTCCCAGCTACTTGGGAGACTGAGGCAGGAGGATCACTTGAAACCAAAAGTTCAAGGCTGTATTGAGCTATGGTCACCCTACTGCCCTCCAGTCCGAGTGACAGAGCAAGACCATGTCTCCAAAAAAAAAAAAGATGTACATGTTAAATCCACAGCTCTTTGGAAACCAGAAAGAATACATAGCAGTTATTCATAGCGTTTACTTTTAAATTGGAACAGGAATATTTCCGTTAAATTGACTTAACAGGTTTGACATCATGCCATCTGAAGGGCCATGTCAGCCAAAGATAGGTTAGTTCCCTACTAAGGCAGCTGGCTGTATATTTGCCAAATTACCTTTAATGAAAAAGACTGAAAGTAAATGAAAAACTATATTGTAGGCATGTATCAATGCATATTGTGAATGTATATATATTGCTATGTTCCCAGCAGTGGTTTACAGCTTCAGCAATATGAGTTTAAGTAATTGTTCACTTTTACATGTAGAGTTGCAGATTCAAAGTGTCTGTTTAAAGTTAATATATAATATTGGAGAACTAGAGGACAATGACACATACAGATCTTGAAACAGTGACGAACGAACCAAGTCTTGGTTTGAATTACTGGGAATGAGGATGGAAAATGCCTTCCTATCAGCATTATTTCATGATTCAAATGTTGCATTTGTCTTTAACAGCAATTGTACCAGACGTTAACAGACTATGATATTCGATTTTACATGTATGAGATTCTGAAGGTAAGGGAACCTTGGATACAAAATGTCCTTAAATTGATCTTCCCTTTGATAAGTAGTTTAATCGATGGTAGAAAAGCTAGAAAATTAATTTTGTAAAGTATGGGGAGAAGAGACCTCTATATAAGTTTTTAATAAGTTGATAATATCAGGACCCTTGTGGCTAATCAAGGGTTATGTAATAGGATCTAGTAGGAGTATAATTTAGAATGCTTTGGAAAAGGGGATTTGAAATATAGCTTGGCCTGGACCCTTAACAAATACATGTCATCTCCATTGTGCCCCTATGTAAGTTGCAATTGAATTGTCAGCCATTGTTTACTGGACTCTGGTGTGGCCATGTGCTCTTTGAGCTATGGCTGCCACCATGTTTTCTAAGCTTTGGCTCTCCTACATTGGGGAGGTAAATCAATCTCTCTCTCTCTCTCTCTCTCTCTCTCTCTAATTTACTTTCTAAATAAGCTATTTTCTGATCTGAAAAAAAATTGGATCATCAAAACTTGCAAAGCAATTTCTGATGTGCTGGCTTCTGGTATATTTTATTGTACTTAAGATTCAACAAGTAAAACAGTAAGCTTTAGCTCAGTTCTCAAAGGGTCATTGTCCCAAGGATTGTATAAATTTCTGCTTAGGGGTTGTTAATTGAGAATGGACTTTGCTTTCTAAACTAGGATCGCCAAATATCTTTCTCTGTATCACAAGATTAGTTTTCTAGAGGAGAGAATTGCTAAAAGTTGGGTAAACTTTCTTATTAAACAAGAGTTGACGTAAAGCCTGCTGTTTGAGCCTTAGAAAGGACCCTAAAGCAACAGGCCCAATTTTTTGGCATCAGGGACTGGTTTAATGGAAGACAGTTTTTCCACAGATGAGGTGGGAGAGAGAGTCATGAGGCTTCAGGAGTGTGCAGCCTAGATCCCTCGCCTGCACAGTTGACAATAGGGTTCATGCTCCTATGAGAATCTGATGCTGATCTGACAGCAGGCGGAGCTCCACCCCCACAGCTCACCTCCTGCTGTGAAGCCTGGCGCCATGGACTGGTACCAGTCTGCAGTCTCAGGGGTTGAAGATCCCTGCTCTAAAGAGACTGTTCCAGCAGAGATATTTGATCCTTCCATTGGCTTGTGGCAAGCAGGGTTTCAGAAAGTTAGGAACATGCTTGCTAGCCCTGGAAACTGTAGCAACTCAAATTGTCCTTGAGGAAGGACAAGAATCTGGCCGATGACATCAGTTGACCGAAAAGCTGGGATTAACAAACCCCAAAGGTCATGCCACTCCGTTTCCTTTAGCTTGAGGTTGGAAACTTTTCTAATTTGGATTTGATTACCTAAACCAGGGGTTGGCTAACTTCTTTAAAGGGCCAGACAGTAAAATTTTTAGGCTTTTTGGGCCGTAAGGTCTTCCTCACACTATTCAACTCTGCTATTGTAATACAAGAGTGGCTGTAGACAGTATGGAAACAAATAGGAATGTCTGTGTTCCAATAAAACATTATTCACAAAAGCAGGCAGCAGGCCAAATTTGGCCTGTGATTTACCAACCTCTGTTGTAGACTCTTAACTGCCAAAGGATCACTGTTCTTCGAATAAGAGGTTTGTAGTACAAACCTGTTTTCTTCCTTTGGAGGGGTGTGTGTTTGTGGAAATAATCTAAACTTTGGATGAGAGGGAAAAGTTGAAAGTGGTGCAGTTGTATACTTTGGATCTTTTTGGACAGAAAGAACGTTGAAACAACTATGTCAAGGCTAGAACTCTAAGTTCAGAGACCTGAGTTTGCTTGACTATGGGATCTTGAACAAGTCTCTGAACAATAACTGCTGAAGTGATTGTCCTAATCCTCCCAGGGGTGTTGTTAGGCTAGAAGGGAAACTTATGTGGAAGAAAAAGTAAGACTAACTGTAAAAAAAGAAAAAAATCTTATGCAAGCTCTTTCCTTGCTTGTTTGTTCTTCCCACAGGCCCTGGATTATTGTCACAGCATGGGAATTATGCATAGAGATGTGAAGCCCCATAATGTCATGATTGACCATGAGCACAGAAAGGTAAAGCGATAGATTAACAAATATATTTATTTATCTACATGTTGATGTTAAGAGCCCATCTTTATACTTTACTCCTAGTATCTGTCACAGGCCCTGTTTCCTTTTAGGCCCTTGGTAAATATTTGGTGAATAAATGAATGAATGAACAAATCAACATGTTTAAAGTATAATTATATTCCTAGGAATATGATCAAGAAGAAAACAGATTAGTATAGTGGGCAAAATGTTCATCTTAGCCTGGAAGCCTGGTTTGTAGTCTTATTTATTGAATAACTAGTTTCCTAAGAAACTGCTTTCTCCTCATTTGCCTGCATGCTGCTAGGTAATTGTGTGAATTAATTAAATGTGCACAGTTGTGAGGTGGAAGAAATACACTTAAAATGCTCCTTCTGCTAGCAGGTATGATGAGGTCCCTGACATCTACAAATGCTTTCACATGAGAATTATAATGGCGACATGCCTTTAAACATTTCTGTTTTTAGCCAGGCGCAGCGGTTCATGACTGTAATCCCAGCATTTGGGAGGCAGAGGCGAGAGGATTGCCTGAGCCTACCAGTTCAAGACCAGCCTGGGCAACATGGCAAGACCGTGTCTCTACCATAAATCAAAAAACAAAAACAAAAACCATTTCTGTTTTTAAAGCTAACCAGAATCACCTTTTGCAAGCAGTGATGACTATGGGTGCAGTGTTTGGGCTGTAGGTGATTTGTTCATGCAAATATTTTGGGGGGCACATACTGTATCATAGGTACTCTTCTAGGAACTTGGGATGTATGAGTGAAATAAACATACAAAATGTGCTTGTTAATTAGGAGCTTACATGAGTGGGAGGCTGATGGGATAGAAAGTTAAGATTCTGGGGGAAAAAATCAAGAATAGGAAATGGTGCAGGGTGTTGCAGTTTTAAGTAAGTAGTAAGCTAGGGAGATTTCATGGGAAAGGTGACATTTTAGAAAACACTGGAAGGGACCCAGCCATGCAGACTCATGAAGAGACATGTCCAAGGAAGAGGAAATAGCAAGTTCAAAAACCCTGAGGTAAGAATGTGTCTGGCACATGGGAACACCAGCAAGGATAGTGCTGAGACATAATGAGCAGGGAGAGGTGGGAGAAGGAATTGAGGTCAAAGAGCTAAAGAGAATCAAGTCATGCAAAACCTTGTAGGTTGTCATCAGAACTTTTCTCTGAAGGTGAAAAGCTTTTGCAGTGTCTAAGTGTATGTTCTCACTTGGATTTTAAAAGTTAACTACTCATCCATTAGAACAGCTAAAATTAAAAAATAATGGCAATACCAAGTGCTGACAAGGATGTGAAAAAACTTGCTCTATCCTTCATTGCTGGTAGGATTGTAAAATTTGGCATTTTGGAAAATGCCAAACTCGTTTTATAGACTGTTGGTTTCTTAAAAAGCTAAACGTATGCTTGACATTCGATCCAGCAGTGGCATATATCCCAGAGGGAAAAAAAATTAGGTCCACACAAAAGCCTATATAGGAAACCAACTATATTTGTAATAGTCCAAAATTGGGGGAAAAAACAAATGTCCTTTAATGGGTGAGTGGTTAAACAAACTGACATGTTCATCCTATGTAGTAGTATTCCTGAGTAGTGTTTCTCAGCAGTAGAAAGGAAAGAACTATGATACCTGACTTGCTGCAGCTGGGATGGATCTCATGTTGATTGAAAAAAGACAATCTCAGCCGGCTCTGTGGCTCAGCCTGTAATCCCAGCACTTTGGGAGACCAAGGCTAGTGGATTGCCTAAGCCCGCGGGTTCGAGACCCACCTGGGCAACTTGGTGAGACCTCGTCTCTACAATAAATCAAAAATTGCCGGGCGTGGTAGCACACTCCTGTAGCTCCAGCTACTTGGAAGGCTAAGGCGGGAGGATCACCGGAGCCCAGGAGGCCAAGGCCGCGGTGGCCAGGAGCGTGCCACTGCACTACAGTCTAGGCAACAGAGTGAGACTTCTACTCAAAAAAAAAGAAAAGAAAAATGACAAACTCAAAAAGTTATATGCTGATGATTCTTTTGTATGACTTTCTCAAAATAACAAAATTACAGAGATATAGAGTAGAGGAGTTGCCAGAGTTTGGGATACCGCACAGGACATGTGTGGTGATGGAACAGTTCTGTATCTTGTGGTGGGGGTTTTGTGAATCTATAAATGTGATAAAGTTGCATAGAACTACACTTATACACACATATATGCAAAACTGGTAAAATCTGAATAAGATCTGTCTGTGAATTATGCCAATGTCAATTTCTTAGTTTTGATATTGTACTGTAATTATATAAGGTATGGATACACAGGACCTCTGTATTCTTTTTGCAACTTCCTATGAATCTACAATCATTTATTTATTTAAAAAAACTTTTTTGAAAGGATTGATCAGATTGCTATGTAGACACTCAAAAGCAAGAGTAAAAGCCGAGAGACCAGTTGAGAGAAGGAGTTATTGCAAGAAAGCAAACAAGAGGTGGTAATGGCATGGACCAGGGCAGTGGCAATGGAGATGATGATAATGGTCAGAATATGGTAGAGCCATCAGGATTTGTTGACAGATTAAATCTGAACTGTGGGGGAAGCAAGAACCCATGGTGAATCTTCAGTTTTGGCTTGCATGACAGAAACAATGAGATCACCTTTCACTGAGAAGAGGGGGACCACAGACGGAAATGGCTTTGCAGCCAGTGGTCAGAGATTTAGTTCTGAGATGTAAACAGCAAACTTAATGCCAGAACAATTAGGCATTATTCCTTTTTTTCAGGGCATACTGCTCACATGTCAAATCATAGTCATGCTTTTGCACAGTGCTCAAATAAGGTTACCTTTTGCCCTACTAGTCCTTTTTGCACTTTCAGGACCCATTTTGGTAAAAGCTGTATTGTATGGCTTTTCTATAGCTTCATTCACGCAGCAGATATTTTTCATTTTTCTCATGTATACTAGGCATTGTGTTGAATTCTGAAATTTATAAAAGTGAGTAAAATAGTCTCTACCCTCAAGGAGCTTACAGTCCATATTGAAAAAGAGAGGCAGAAGATAAACATACAATAAAGAGTTGTAGGTTCTAGCCGGGCTCGGTGGCTCAGCCTGTAATCCCGCGCCTTTGGGAGGCTGAGGTGAGTGGATTGCCTGAGCCCGCGGGTTCCAGACCTGCCTGGGCAGCGAGACCTCATCTCTACAATAAATCAAAAAATCAGCCGGGCGTGGTAGCACATGCCTGTAATTGCAGCTACTTGGAAGGCTGAGGCGAAAGGATCGCCGGAGCCCAGCAGGTGGGGGCTGCGGTGGCTGGGAGTGACCACTGCACTCCAGTCTGGGCGACAGTGAGACTCCAACTCAAAAAAAAAAAAAAAAAGAGTTGTAGGTTCTACTAAAAACATGTATCTGAGGTTCAAAAAGGCTAAAGGCAAAAGTCAGTGCTGCTTAGATTATTAAAAAGACTGCATTGAGGAGCTAACCTAAATAGCCAAAAGATAAGGAGATACTCACCAATAGAGTATAAATTGGATAGCCGGGACATTTTAGTCAGATGAGCAGTTTAAGAAATTCACAAAAGCGCAACTGAGAATCTTTCAGAAACTAGGTCATGGAGAAAGTTATCTGTCAAACTAAGAAGTTTCATGCCAAATGCTATTAGTAATCAGTGAAGGGATTTTAATAGAGAGTTATGAGGCTGATATATTTTGTCAAGAATGTGCTAGTGGAAGAATGGGGTTAGCTTAGAGGAAAATAAAAATGCTCATGGTTTGTTTTCTTTTTCTTTCAGCTACGGCTAATAGACTGGGGTTTGGCTGAGTTTTATCATCCTGGCCAAGAATATAATGTCCGAGTTGCTTCCCGATACTTCAAAGGTCCTGAGTTACTTGTAGACTATCAGGTGAGACAAGAAGGGCAGATATAGTTTCAAGCCAATGTTTATATTGCATATAGTTTAGGAAAAGTGTCATTTTATGCTTTTAAGTAGGCCATTCATATACATCCATCACTGTCCCTTCCATATGAAATGTGAAGTATAAGTCACCTCAGTCTGTCATCACATTGCTTTTATTGTCATAATGTCAGTAGACTATGAACAGGTCTGCATTTGATCCTGACTTGAGGGAAAGTACACCAAAGGTACTTTGGCTAATCAAAAATGCCTGAACTAGTTTGAGAATCGTAAGCTAGGTTTAACCAACTTTAAGAGTAAACTCAAAAATGTTCTCTTGTTTTTCTGCATTATATACTAGATGTAAAGGCTTTTCCTCCCCCTCCCCCCAAAAAAGCCTTCTTTGTCTTCACTAAAAAAAGGGTGGAAAATATATAATACGTTTACCAAGTGCTTTAAAAGTCTATAAGCCCTTAGGAATATCTTTCATGCCCAGTCTTCCTAGATTATTATCAAATGCCTTAAAAAAATTTCAAGCCAGGCTCGGTGGCTTAGCCTGTAATCCCGCGCCTTTGGGAGGCTGAGGTGAGTGGATTGCCTGAGCCCACATTTGTCACCTGCCTGGGCAACTTAACAAGACCTCATCTCTACAATAAATCAAAAATTAGCTGGGCGTGGTAGCACACGCCTGTGGTTCCCGCTACTTGGAAGGCTGAGGTGGGAGGATCCGCCGGAGCCCAGCCAGATCGAAGCTGCGGTGGCCGGGAGCGGCCATTGCACTTCAGTCTGGGTGACAGAGTGAGACTCCAACTCAAAAAAAAAAAAAAAATTTTTTTTTCAGACTTTTTGTCCTTGAGAAATTCCTTTTTGAGCTCAAAAGACATTTTGTGCATAAAAGCGTTATTTAAAACATTATTGGCCAGACATGATGGCTCACGCCTATAATCCTAGCACTCTGGGAGCCTGAGGCAAAAGGATGGCTTGAGCCCAGGATTTGAGACTAGCCTAGGCAGCATAGCAAGACCTTGTCTCTACAAACAAACAAAAAATTAGCCAGGCATGGTGGCACATGCTTGTAGTCCTAGCTACTCGGGAGACTGAGGCAGAAGGATCACCTGAGCCCAGAAGGTCGAGCCTGCAGTGATTCATGATGTAGCCACTGAACTCGAGCCTAGGTGAGTGTAATAGTGGAGGGGTTTGGGGGGGACACAAAACACTGTCCTATTATAGGGAAATTAAGGATTAAATTCTACAACATTTATGTAATAAAGTATTAATGGCACACATTGAAAGATATTCCTAGGCTAATGATTTGGAGATCTTCTTATGTGAGTGAAGAAAACAATTCAAAATAGTATGTACATTAGCTAGGCATGGTGGTATGTGCCCTGGCTACTTGGAAGGCTGAGGCAGAAGAATCGCTTGAGCCCAGGAGTTTGAGGTTATAGTGAGCCATGATCGTGCCACTGCACTCCAAGGTGGGTGGACAGAGCAAGGCCACATCTCTTTAAAAAAAAAAAAAGTGTGTACAAAATGTTTTAAAACTGTGTAGCAGAATGCATAGGAGAAAAGACAGGGAAAAAAAACATATGAAGATGTTATATTAATTAGTGTTTGGAGTTTTGAGTCTGGAGTGACTTTTTTTTTTTTTTAATAAAATATTTTTTGAAGTGACAAGCCTGGGGATTAATGTTTGGTAACAGTGAGTCTTCTTTGTTTTAATGCAGATGTATGATTATAGTTTGGATATGTGGAGCTTGGGTTGTATGCTGGCAAGTATGATCTTTCGGAAGGAGCCATTTTTCCATGGACATGACAATTATGATCAGGTGATATATGTTGTGCCCATTAAGAAATTTCCTGTTCTAATGTAATGATGACCAGATCATCTGCCTATTTATTCAAAACCCCAGTGAATCTTGCTAAAATATAAATGCCTATCCCCCATCCCCCACTTGAGAACTATTCTTAAGGGTAAGGAATAGTTTTTAGTTCACCGCTTATTCAGCCACGTTGATCTTCAGATTGGTGTTTTGGAAGCTACTGGGTTAGCCTTTTGAAATCAGACTTTCCCCCCTATTCTTTATAGTTTGCACTGCATTACTGTGAAGTATGCATGTACACTATCATACAGATTTTTGCAATAGGACATTACCTTAATCTCCTAGCATGACCTCTTGTTAGAGTTGGTAATGTTTTCTGTAATATGTTGGCCTATATGTGGTACTTCTGTGATCCTTTTGTCTCTTTATACCAATTGAGTTTATGTATATCAGTAGAAATATAGAAGCTTTTTTCAAAACTACTCCACTTCCCTCTTGAAGATAAAAAGGCCATTTCATTCACAAGAACCTGGAATGATTCTGGGACCTTGTGGAAAATACATTGCCTTGTTCCCTTTGAGCACCATGGCCATTTTTAATGGGTTGATGAGTACAGTCTGAATTCAGTTAAAGTCAGCAACTCTATATCAGGTGCCATGCAGGACTGAGGAATACAGAAAAAAAGAATAATCCTTTTCTCAGGTAGTTTATAGTCTATCTCATAACGTAATTAAACATATAAGGAAATAAATTATGGTCAAAACTGTCAGAAGTATGACAGTACACAAACCACAGTAGTGAGTAGTCTGTGCAAGGAGAGTGTACCAAAAAATGTGATGTCTTCAACTGAGTTTTGAGGGGGAAAAATAAGACTTCACCAGAGAGATACTTCCAGAAGAAAGAACCAAGTTATAAAGTGGTTGGGCTTTTCTGACACTGAGTTGGTTTGGAGATTTTAATGTGAAAATCTACTCCTGCCACGTGCAGAAATTGGAAGTATAAATCGTTAGGAGCTAGTATTCATACCTGTAGGCATGATGATGCCTTTCTGTTAATTCGGTCATGATTTGATTGTGTAATATGCTTGTGGTGTGGGTTTTTGTCTTTCTTTAATACTAGTTGGTGAGGATAGCCAAGGTTCTGGGGACAGAAGATTTATATGACTATATTGACAAATACAACATTGAATTAGATCCACGTTTCAATGATATCTTGGGCAGGTAAGTTATGAAATATGTGCATCTGTGGCTTACGCATTTTGGGTATGAACTGGCACTTAAGATCCTCAAAATAGTTATGTTCTCTTTGCCAATTCTGCCACAATGTCAGTGGTCCAGTGCCACAGGATGCTGCATTTGAGCAAGCCTGTGATAAAAGCATTAGATTGAATGGGTTTTTTTAGATCACCTACAGGATTCTGTGAAATGAATGAAATGTAGCTTTTGGTACAAAGGGTTGCAATTGAGGCAAAAATACAAATCTCTTCATTACCTTCTTTAAATGACAAAACCCTCTCCAAGGGAAAGAAATGGGAATAGAAAATGCATGCTCTTTATGACTGATGTGCAGACAACTGACTTTGAAAGTAACAACTAGATACAACTACACACAATACTAATACATTAACCACTTAACAGCTGGAGGTGAACTTTCCTGATGGAAGGGCTTTTGCTGGCAAAGTGACTGAGAATGTGGGTGGTGATGGGAAGAGGCCTAGTTAGCCCAGCCACCTGACCCTTCATGCTGCCCAGGAGCATTCACATCCTGCCAAATAACCTGAATTGTGTTTCTTTAAAATTGGGAGGACCCAGATAATCTCTTTCTCCAACAGTGCCAGTTCTGGTCTCTCCAGTTAACTTTGTTGTGTTCCCTCCTGCCATCTGTGGCAGCATGGTACAAGACTACTCTTGAGTTGTGATTCCTCTTTGCTATTGTTTTAGCTGGGCTCCTAGCCACTAAGGAAAATGTAGGAATGATAGGTTGGGCTTCTCTGCCCTCGTGACCCATTTCTCATTTCCCTTTTTGACCCTGCAGACACTCTCGTAAGCGATGGGAACGCTTTGTCCACAGTGAAAACCAGCACCTTGTCAGCCCTGAGGCCTTGGATTTCCTGGACAAGCTCCTGCGATATGACCACCAGTCACGGCTCACTGCAAGAGAGGCCATGGAGCACCCCTATTTTTGTGAGTCCAACTGTGTAGTCCACAGGGCTTGTAAAGACCCTTCTACCACTACCCAGCAACCTGTATAAGGTGGGAGAAAATAATGCTATGACAAAAGCTCTGGGCCCAGAATCTTTTTTTTTTTTTTGAGTTGGAGTCTCACTCTGTCGCCCATACTGGAGTGCAGTAGCCGCTCCCGGCCACCGCAGCCTCGACCTGATGGGCTTTGGCGATCCTTCTGCCTCAGCCTCCCAAGTAGCCGGAATTACAGGCATGTGCTACCACACCGGCTGATTTTTTTGATTTATTGTAGAGATGAGGTCTCGCTGCCCAGGCGGGTCTGGAACCTGCGGGCTCAGGCAATCCACTCACCTCAGCCTCCCAAAGGCGCGGGATTACAGGCTGAGCCACCGAGCCCGGCAAGGGCCCAGAATCTTACAGAACAGAGTTATAATCCCAGCTGCTGTTGTCTCGCTGCACAGTTGGTTTACCCACACTGAGCCTCAGATTCATCAAATGGGGATAGTGATGGCAACTGCATTACAGAATTCTTAGGAGGATTTTTGTCTAACAGAATACTTGAAACATGAGCACTCCTGAGGTAACTTCCTTACTGTGGGGATGACACTTACCATCTCTGGTCTGGAGGACTAGCCGTATTTCTGTCCTGTCTCCAGTAACTGTCCATTGGAGAGAGTTAATGAGACTTGCAGATCTTAATATTGTAGGAACACCTGGGCTTAGGTTTGTGAGTGTAGCCAGTTGTGCCATCTAGATGAAAATGCCACTTAGACCCACTTCATCTTCTCTGTGGTGTTAGTGGTAACATTAGATTGTTCCTTGGGTCATGGTAGGATGGTTCTATAGTGAATCCTTTACACTCTTGCCCAGTATCCTGTACCTGAAGCAGACGGACAGGTTGATTGGGATGGGGAATGAAGTCTATGGTCATAGCCCTACTAACCTATATGCAAAATTTGGCCTATTTGGCATTGAGCTGTGAACCACTAAACCCAGTTCAAACTGATACTATGTTATTGTTTTGGCCAGATTAGAGTGTATTGTCTCCATTAAACCTCAACAGGACCAGCTTCATTGTAAATTAACTGTACTGTGGATAAATACCTCGTCTTCCCACCATTTGGTTTAAGAGTTGACTGGTACCACTGTTTGATAGGAAAGGTATTTGTGTTTTTTCTTACTTGACTAATTCATGGTGAAGCCAGCTGCTACCTTAAGTTCTTTTGGAAATAATGTGGAATATAAATAAAATGCAAAGAATTAAGATGGCTGCTTTCAGGTTCCCAAACCATTAGTTTAGTCCTTCAAGCAAAACAAAACCTAACATTTTGGTCTCTTTTCTAGACACTGTTGTGAAGGATCAGGCTCGAATGGGTTCAGCTAGCATGCCAGGGAGCAGTACACCTGTCAGCAGCGCCAATATGATGTCAGGTCAGTTCATTGGTAAATTTCCTTTAAAAAGATGTGGAAGTAGTTCCTGTTGTTAGTTTTGCCCCCACTTGTGGTCTAATTTCTTAAATGCCTTCTCATCTCTGTACTGATTGCCTTATGACATACTGGCCTGTGTGGCTGTTTTCCACCAAGTTTCAACATGCTTGCCACCTGATGACACTGCCTTGGGGTATCCTTAATCTTTGCTAGGCTAGAATCCCAGCATTCCTAACAATATTTCTCGCAAAGGAACTTGAAGGTCCCAACAAGCCATGAAGGGTTTGGAATCTCAATAGTTACATGGTCCTCAAAAACAATATTAAGAATTCGGATATAAAGGTGGGGTTTCTACATGGGTATGTACGTATATAAGGACAGTTGTCTGATCTTTGTCAGAACAAGTGTACCTTGTAAATTGTAAACATGTGTATGAAACTTTTTATTGAGTCATTGTGATATACAGAGTGTTTTTTGTAGAGTACACAGTTATTTTAAAAAACCCCACAGGTCCATACCCTAAGAATTATACCTTTTAGGCAACATCTGAGTATGTATACTTGTGGTAGTAAGGACATGTATTCAGATACCCTCCAATAGTTGTTATCCCCCAATCCCCTCCCCCCCTTTTTTTTTAGAACTAGCCACCTTTTAGAATTTATCCTCTAGGTATTCTGCCTATGTACAAAATGATGTATATCCAAGGTTACTACTAATAGCCTTATTTGTAGTAATAAAACATTGAAAACAGCTATCAGTAGGAAACTGGTTATATCAGTTATGGGATATCTGTGCAGTGGAGTATCATGCAGCCAGAGAAAGGAATGAATAAGTGTCTCGTGTTCTCTTAGAGCTCTAAGTCAAAGACAATAATGTTAAATGAAAAAAGCAAGATACAGAGCCCTGTCCAAGAGCAGGAGTGGGCAAAAATATATAATAATGTTCTTATATGTGATTCTTGTATGCATAGTTTGGGATAGTTGTATTCATTTATCTGCCTTAAATGTTTCTGGAAGGATACACCCCAAATGCTGCCATAGTTGGCCAAGCAACAGGGTATGGGAGATTTTTCACTATATATGCCTTTGAACCTTTTATATTTTGGACCATGTGAATATATTACATATTAAAATATGCATATATATAGCATTTTGAAAATTAAAGAACTGGCTGATTGAAGGAAGCTATCAGGTAATTAGAGAGGTGGAAGAAACCAAATGGAAATAAACTCTAAAACACAGTTTTAGCTTAGATGGAAAGTACTCCTTTCCCCACTAATATGACTTTTAATAATTTTGAAAGCTGCCAGCTATCAAGGCAGCGTGGTATTCAAGAGCACATGAACTTTGACTGCAGTCCTGTGCTGTTCAGTATATAGTGACTAGCCTCATGTGGCTATTTAATTAAAACTGAATAAAATTTAAAATTCAGTTCTTTAGTTGAAGTAGCTACATTTCAAGTGCTCATTAGCCTCATGTGGCTGGCTGTGGTCACCATGTTGGAAAAACACTGCCCTAGATAAGCCTGGGTTGGAATCCAAGCATAGCTTCTTACTAGCCATGTATCTTGAACAAACTGCTTAAACTCTCCAAAACTAAATTTCTTTGCCTGTCTCTTAAATTCGCTTGGACTTACCATTTTATCTTGAGTTTATGAGGATTAAGCTTGACATATATGTAAAATTCTGACTAAGAATAAGCCTTCAATAAAGAAATTATTATTATTGTGTTACTTTTGTGATGAGTGCTATGAGAAACTGATGAGTAAGATTGCCATGGTTGTGTCTCTGGCTCACTGTCAGCTGTTTTCTTTCAGGGATTTCTTCAGTGCCAACTCCTTCACCCCTTGGACCTCTGGCAGGCTCACCAGTGATTGCTTCAGCCAACCCCCTTGGGATGCCTGTTCCAGCTGCTGCTGGCGCTCAGCCGTAATGGCCCTGTCTGTCTCCTGATGCCTGAGCAGAGGTGGGGGAGTCCACCCTCTCCTTGATGAAGCTTGCGCCTGGTGGGGAGGGGTGAAACACTTCAGAAGCACCGTGTCTGAACCGTTGCTTGTGGATTTATAGTAGTTCAGTCATAACAAAATTATAATAGGCTGATTTTCTTTTTTTTCTTTCTTTTTTTTTTTAACTCAAACTTTTCGTAACTCAGGGGTTTCCCTGAAAAATTACCTGCAGGTGGAATATTTCATGGACAAATTTTTTTCTCCCTTTCCAAATTTAGTTCCTCATCACTAAAGAACAAAGATAAACCAGCCTCAATCCCGGCTGCTGCGTTTAGGTGGAGATTTCTTCCCATTCCCATCATTGCTCCTCCTCCATCCCACATTTGGGGGGTTTGTATCTTGTGCTCTTCTCCAGAGATTACAAAAACGTAGCTTCTCAAGGGAGTCAAAAAGGAAGGAGAAGGAGGGAAGGACCCTGTCTATAGGAGCAGTGGACTGCTGGTCACTTACGTCACTTCTACTTCAGAAGTGCTTCAGTGGGTGGCTGGTGGCTCTCGTGGAAGTGTGTCTTAGTTACATTGAGGTGTTGAAAATCTACCCAAAATGCAGACATCCTAAAAACTGTTTGGTATGAATCATGTCCTATTGATCTAATCCTGAATCCAACTCGCTTGTAATTTTAGTTTTAGTTTAGTTTAAATTTTTGATACTTTTCCCTACAGGTCCCTTCCCTCGTTGCCCCTTTCATCTCCCAACATGCTGTGCTCCATAGCTGTAGGAGGGAGAAGACATCTTTCTCAGTTTTCTTTGACTTGGCCATTTTGAATTCAGTTGGTTACTGGGCATAACTTATTGCTTTTTACAAAAGAAACAAACATTGTTTATATAGGTTTCATGCTAGCAACTCTAAGAGCTATGGGAGATGTGGCCACACTGAGTTCCATTTTAAGCTTTCTACCTTCTTTTCCTCCTACCTTCCCCTTCCCTCACATGCCATCCAGTGAGAAGACTTGCTCCTCAGTCTTGTAAATGTACCTGAGAGGTAGGAGCAGAGCCACTATCTCCAATGAAATTGAAATGGTAGACCTGTAATTGTGGGAAAAGATAAACTCTCTTGTTACAGCCCTGCCACCCCTTGCTGTGTGTATATATATAATACTTTGTCCTTCATATGTGAAAGATCCAGTGTTGGAATTCTTTGGTGTAAATAAACGTTTGGTTTTATTTATCAAGGTTAGATTTAAGTTCCCTGTGTAAAGGTCTCGCTGGGTGGGTGTCTCATGTTCACATCTGAGGGGCCTGCAGCCCGGTACCGTGGAGGCTTCCCAAGGCCCCCATTTTTATACACCCCTCATTTGACCCATGGTACCGGGCAGGGCAGAGAGGCCTTAAAAAAGCACCACAAGCCAAAGCGTCTCTGGGGATTAAGGATCCTTTGCCATAAAACTCATTTTGTGTCTCAGCAGTGCAGGGATTGGGGATGGAAAAAGTCGCCAGTTTTTGTGTGTTTGTGTGTGTGTGTGTAAAGTGGACTTTCCACTGTAATCCAACCACCTAAGTTTATCAGGTGCTTCACTGAGGAAGCCTAGTTTTTTAAGCACAATAGCAAAACCATCAGCTCTGTATTTTCTCCTATTATTCCATTACAGTAGCTGCTTGTGGGGACTAGGAAAGATTCTTCCAACATATTTTAAGGCCTAAAATCTTAGTTCCCCATTCTCCTACCTTTATAGACTCACAAGCCTTTCTCACCTGGGCATCATAGGTAAACATAATTGTTCGAGGAGTTGAATTTAATGAACTTATCTAACTTTGTAATCCATCTTGGCTTTAGTAACTTGATCAGGTGGTGGCTTTAGTGAATATAATGGTAACGTTTTAGAGGAAACTGAAGCCTCCTTCTACAGTGCTTCTCAACCATAAGGAGAGCTGAAGGGAAAGCATTCTGACTGTATGGCAGGGTGATTTTCTTCCTTGTGACCACTTACAGTGGATATTTATTGTACTTGACCCTTTTGTGCCCTAGAATGCTGTGAGGGTTACCATGTTGAATTTGTGCAGAAGCTAAAAGCACCAGATGTGCCAGAGATGCAATTTGTGATTACGTTTGCACTGGATTGTGATTTGAACAGGACACTTATAACTAATGCATTCTTTCTTTTGTGGTGGGTAGGAGGGTTGCAAATCACGACTTCATACCCCACCCTTGTAGCTCAGAAATCTAGGCGTAGCTGAGGCTGATGTGGGGAGCTGCAGACAGCTGGACCTCCTTACACTCATCAGACCTGGCAAGAAACCGAAGGTGAATGCAGAGGACTCTGAAGTACCAACCACGAGCCTTTTAAATAGAGTCACTGCAGAAGCATGGAGAGAAAAAAAGACCCAGTTGGGTGGGGGTGGGGGTACAAGGGTTTACAGAGTAACAACTTGTGTTGTTGTAAATTACCTCATCTGTATACCTTGTATTGGGACACTTTATTTCTCAGCACTACCTGTGTCTGCATTGCTTAGATGGCAGGAGATCGAATGGCCAATATAAAACAGTTGTGTTGGCAATTACTCAGAAAGGTTTTTTTTTTAAGGTATTTTTAACTCTGTTTGAAGTGCCCCCCCCCTTTAAGTTTGAAGTCAGAAGTCCTTCCCTCCTCGATTTATTGGTTGTAATTGTATTGTAATTGGTATCACTAAAACATAACTGTGCTGGGAAGAAGTTGTGCCATGAAGGTCTTTAATTTTTTTTAATAAAAACATTTAAATAAATGAAATGTCCCTGCAGCCTGAGCAATATGCTTCTCCAACCGACACCGTGTGTGATAGATGGCTTAGTCTTCACGTGTTTTGAGTTTAATATTGGGTTGATGGATATGTTAAGTGGGATGGATTAAGATTGGTCGAGGAGCAATGAAGTCTAGAAGTTTTTGACATCAAGGTACAATGAAGGGAGCATGATGTTGCTGAACAAGTCTGGCTTTATTCCTGCCCTTCTCACACATTTGGCTACTAGGCAAATTACTTCGGAAATCAGTGTCATCTATAAGATGGGGCCACTGCTTCTCTGTAAATGAATGAGAATATATCAAGTGTCTGGCACCTGTTATGCTCTTGATAAACCTAATTCTTCTGGTCCTCTAATATGGAGGATTAGTCTTTAGGTCTCACTTTTCCAGTAATTCACACTATAGTCCCTGGCAAAGGCCCTTCCCTCCTCAAGACATCTGAGTTTAAGGGGAGTCTGGGTGAGGTGTCGCCTGAGGTTTTTTCCCAGCTCTGACGTTGATTTTAGAAAGTTGGAGTGGTATTTAAATAAAAAGGTCTGTGGAGATAGCTTGCTTCAGCAGGAAAAAACAGTTTAGTGAATGTAAGTAAACCCTGTGGAAGGTCAGCCTTGGAGATACCCCCAGCCCTGGAGGTAGATTGTGAGTCTTAGGTCTTGGATTGAGGTTGTGCTGGTGAACATGTAGAAACATACTTGGCAACATGATAGAAACCGTATAAAAGGCTAGTAAAAGAGGCAGTATATATCAACACCAGATGACTAAAGCATACAAGAATAGATTTGAATTGTCATTTATTCTTTTTCATTTAACCATAGGTTTTTTTAAAAAATGAAACCAGAGAAAATTCTGGTATCCCAGATTTCTAGTTTCCCTTAAATATTCACTATATACTGTTTTATGGCACCAAATATTGGAGGTTGAGAAGTACGGTTTAGAAACAAGGAACCATTATGTGTTATATTTAAAATGCCTGTCCAACTTAACATGAGATAGGTTAAATTGTTAGAGCAGGACTTCAGAAGCAGAGGAATGTATTTTGTAAAATAGACCTTCAGGGTATGGCTAATTATTATAGTCCTAAAGTAGTAGAGAAAGGAGATTGGTAAATTTAGGAACTTTAACTTCTTCTCAGTCTTTAACTTTCATCTTGCCTTCACCTTTTGTCAACTGTGGTTATAATTAGAACTGACCAGCCAGGCATGGTGGCTCACACCTATAATCCCAGCACTTTGGGAGGCTGAGGTGAGAGGATTGCCTGACCCACGTGTTCAAGACCAGCCTGGGCAACTTGGCAAGACTTCATCTCTACAATAAATCAAAAAATTAGCCGAGCATAGTGGTGCGTGCCTGTAGTTCCAGCTTCTTGGAAGGCTAAGGCAGAAGGATCGCCTGAGCCCAGCAGGTCAAGTCTGCGGTGGCCGGGAGCGTGCCACTGCCCTCCAGGCTGGGTGACAGAGTGAGACTCCAACTCAAAAAAAAAAAAAAAAAACTGACCATTTCAGCTTTTGTTCTGGGCTGGAGTCTCACTCTGTCGCCCAGGCTAGAGTACAGTAAGCATGCTGCTTATGGTCACCGCAGGCTCATGGTCTCGCCAAGTTACCCAGGTTGGTCTCAAACTCCTGGGCTCAGGCAATCCTCTCGCCTCCACCTCCCAAAGTGCTGGGATTACAGGTGTGAGCCACCGTACCCGGCTTCAACATCTCTTAAAACCTAGTTCTGTCCCACTAGCAGTTCCTCTCCCAGGATTAGAATGACGTTTGAGTAATTGTCAGTCACCAGTCTTGTCTACCTCCCTGTGATGATTCTCTCCTTCCTTGCGCCTTAGATTCAGTGACTAACTAATCAGATGTGACGTGCATACCAGAGAGGTCTTTCCAGGGCCTTTCCTGGCTAAGGAAAAAGTTAGCCAAGAGGTTTTGAAGTAGGGTAATCCTCAGTTCCCTCCTCAAAAAATGAGTCTAAGGTCCTTGATCCTGAGTACTGCATCCCCCACTCCCCCATCCTCCACCCTCTACATCCCCCACCCCTACCCCCACCATTACCACCTTGTCCTTGTTCCTCATAACACCTGGACTTTTATTGTATTATTGTGTCTATTGTCTGTCTCCCCACTTGCATGTAAACTCCCTGATGGCTATCCATGTCTTGTGCAGTCCTCATAAACACCTTTTTCTTGAAAGGTGATGCATTTTCCCTCAGTATTAAAGAGGATTGAATGGAATAGCACAAGGAAAATGCTGAACACCATGACTGGCTCATAATAGATGCTTGATAAATGGTAGTTCTCTTCTCCATGCCCGCTGCCACCCTTCTCTCTCCCCTTACATGCACACACATAGTAAGTGAATGGAAATAGTGTTTCGTAAAGAGTGTCTCAAGGTCATACCTTGTCCTCGGTTTTGTAACTGTAGTTCTAAGCCACAGGTGAGACTGAATTAATATGACCAGAACATGTTTATTTATCAGTCCCTAGGGAAATCAGAGGTGTCTGGAGGCTAAGCAATGACCCCAGCCAATTTAGTCAACTTAGGTGCTAAAATCGCCCTGCTTTTCACCACTTGTATACAATATAGGTTGAGTAGCCATTATCCAAAATGCTTGGGACCAGAAGTGTTTTGGAATTAGATTCTTTTGAATTTTAGAATATTTACAGAATACATACCAGTTGAGTATCTCTAATCTGAAAATCTGAAATTTGAAATGCTCCAATGAGCATTTACTTTGTGTATCATGTTGGTGCTCAAGTTTTAGATTTTCAAGAATTTTGGATTAAGGATATTCAACCTGTAATATGAGAGTTTGTCTGTTCTCCAGGTAGATGTATAACTCTGGTTCTGGAGTCAGTCATGGTGCACTAGAGTACTTTTTAGACTTTACAACCTTCCTATGGTTCTGTGCTAAATTTAACCCACAGAGAAGCAACCTAATGTTATGCAGATGGCCTGTTTCTCATCAGAGTTCCGACTGTGTGATTTTTTTTATCAGTTAGCCTCTCTGAATCTTTTCTTCATAAGTGATCTAAATTATTATTATAATTATTATTATTATTATGAGTTGGGGTCTCATTCTGTTGCTCAGATTGGAGTACAGTGGCACGGTCATGGCTCACTGTAGCCTTAACCTCCTAGGCTCAAGCAATCTTCCTTCCTCAGCCTCCCAAGTAACTGGGACATATCACCACACCCAGTTAATTTTTTTAAATTTTTATCTTTGTAGAGATGAGGTCTTGTTATGTTGCCCAAACTAGTCTTGAATTCTAGACCTCAAGCAATCCTCCCTCCTTGGCCTTCAAAAGTGCTGGGATTATAGGTGTGAACCATCGCATTTAGCCTAATTGTGCAGATTATGTGTAGGAATAGGATGCCACATCTATAGGGAGGCATAGATAGTTACCAGCAGATGGCAGTAAAGTATCCCTACTAGAAGAAAAAAAATCCAAGCCTTCAACATGACAA